TCCTTGACTACCAAGGCGTAATTTTATTCAAGACACGAGCACTAGGACAACTATCAACTAAGACTAAAGAGCTCGTCTTTTCCATGAAATAAGGGGAGTAATATTCAGGTTTCCAGGATTCGAGGGTTCTTCATCTGGGAGGTAACTTAGTGACATGGAAATGGTATCGACTATAATATGTTTTAGCTTAGTAGCAACCACAACAGGCATTATCAGATGAATGATCAGAGGTGGAATTTCATTGGAGTTATCACATTAAAAAAGAGGAAGGTAAAAATAAAATGCAAAATAAAATAAAGTAAAATTTCAAATATATATATATATATATATATATATATTCTGCTTAGGAGTAATAAAAACTAGGATTGTCAGAGAAAGAGCAAAGGAAGGAGGTCTTCGTTCTTATCTTTTTAAGACTCCTGTATCTTCTTAGACCTATCTCCATTTTTGTGTATTGCGAGGGCGTATGTTTTTGCTAGTATATGTATACATATTACATCTCCATGCATATATACTGTTTTATTATAAAGATTTAGTATATATATATATATATATATATATATATATATATATATATATATATATATATATATATATATGTTGAGTTGGGTTCGTGTGTGTGTTGTGGGGTAGTTTATTGCGTTTGTTTTTGCCCGTATGTGTATATATTTTCGTTCTCTATAGATACTTGTCTGTGTGTATGTGTGTATACGTGTGTATGTGTTTCGACCAGTGTATTCGGCCTTATATGCGTATGATGTGTGTTTATGTGTGTGGGGTTATGATCTGTTTAGTGCCGGTTTAATTTGTTAGTAAGAATAATTGTCTGCCTGATATAGTGGCATAATTTTAAATTTACCTTGATTGCATTTGTAGATTTGTTGTGATACAAAGAGTTTTCTGTGCATAAATCACATTTTGGGAGTTGCAGTTCAAATTATTATTTATTGTGGATGTCGTTGTGGGGTTTTCAAAAGGGTAAGAGTTTCTCTCTATATTGATATAAAAAATGCCCACGTCTTTTTTATTGCATTTTGTGAGTCCCTGCATTGTGTGTTGGGTAAATTCTGGAGTGACGTCAGTGAAGAGTTCTAATAAGGGGAGATAACTTCTTATAACTACCTATTGCATCTGCTAGAGAAGATGTAAACAATAATTGTATGATGTTTATGAAAATAGATTTTATATAATTATTTACAAATAACTGAAAATTATTTTTAAACGATCATTTAAAGATAATATAATATAATGGAAATGGTTTTAAGTCAGTTATGGCAGCCACACGCTTCTAAAATAAAATTTGAGATTTACAAAATATCTAGATTTCTTTTATGATAAAACCCGGAGAAGTGAGCTTAAGTTGAAATTTCTTTCATTATTGGAATTCATTATGAACAAATATGCTCTTAATATTAATAAAAAAATGCAATAAAATGAAAAAAATACTTACTGTAGAAAGTTTTTTATTACATTTTAAATAGAATATATTGAAACTTTTCAGTTTAAGGAGTATGGCTGGAAGATGAACAACGCTGGGATTACTCATTAAGTGAATGAGCTGTCTGTCTGCTCGATAATAATGCAGGGTAATGGAGGGTAATTTTAATGTATAACAAAAGTAATGAATGCAATGATACACTGATATATAACTGTTTGCTGAACAGGATCCAATTATCCAGATTTATATATGAACAGATCCGATATTAGCGGTCAATATCACCCAGTGGATGATGATGATGATGATGAATGAGTGAATTAAAGAATATTAAACAAAGGTCACCCATCCAGGACAAATTCTGGTTTGGCATCTTAACTTTTTCTGAACTCATAAAATATGTAGCTGAAAGAGAAAAAATCTTTTTTGTGAAATTTTATAAATTGTAATGTAAGGATTTCAAAATCATTCGAAGAGAAAAAAAGGAAAATAAATATTTTTGGTGTCGCCGAAATTGGCATAAAATATTGCTCTCTCGGTTCAATGGATAAAGACGTTGGTTAGATCCAGTGACTAGACCCAAAGAGTTGTGAGTTCAATACCAGACCACAGCAGTATCTGTCTATATTTCTGAGATGAGGTATTATGTACACTATTTACATTATTTAGACTATCGTCCTCATCTTTGTCGCCATATTTATTACAACGTTACTGCCTTTCAGTATCTGTCTATATTTCTGAGATGAGGTATTATGTACATTATTCAAACTATTGTCCTCATCTTTGTCGCCATATTTATTACAACGTATCGGCCGTTGTACGCTCCGGCCTTCTTCAGATGGTTGGAATGTCGAACTGAACCCTTTATTTCGCTCACTGAGGTAGACTGTTCTAGTTCCACGTGTCATGTTTAATGGATGTCAGTTATCAGTTATCTCCTGTTAAGTTCAGACCACAGCAGCGAACCAAAACTTGGAGAGTTGAGTTAAAGGGAAATAACTGAGACATCCGGAAGAGGCATGACACGTGGAACTGGATCAATCTACCTCGGTGCGCGACATAAAGGGTTCAGTACGAAATTCCAATCACCTGAAGAAGGCCGGAGCGTACAACTGCTGAAACGTTGTGAGTATGGCAATGAAGATGAGGATAACAGTCCGAATAATGTAAATAAGGCAACTAATAATAATACGTCATCTCAGAAATATAGATATGTTTTGATGAGTTTATCAGAAATTAAAAAAAAAAAGTCTGTTGCCCTGAAAGTATTCATCTTTTCTTTCTATATCATCTCCCTGCGCACGTTCATTCCACTTTGCAATCAGCTATAAAAGATTCTTCCTTCCAGAATCTTAAAATATCTCTTCTTCCAGACATTTCTTACGCAATAACCTGCAAGCCGTGCAATAAATATCCCATAAAACTTTTATACTTATCTATTGCTATCAGGCGTCAATAAAGCCCAGGAAGTTTCAGCAGAGGTCGATATTAAGATCGATGAATATTGAAATGTGCCTCTCTAAGTCCGCTTTTCTTAATCATCGCCATTGCAATTTTAACGGACTAGACTTTTTCCAAAGGATCTGCCGCTTTTTTCTTATCTTTTTCTTAATAATTATTCCCTGATAACAACGTTCTATATTTTGCAAGTGATGATTATGAAGGAGAATTAATTTTTCTCGTAAATTAATTTCTGCTATATGTTATTTTCATAGCGAATATTATCAATCCGACTTCATTACGTTTAAACCATACACCATAAAAACGGAATCTACGCTATGCCGCAGTTACAGCTTAACCCATTAACTGTGGCAGATATTCTTCCCAGTCAGTTTTTTGGCATAGAAGGCAATGACGGAAATTTCCATCATCTGTCTTTCATGGGCGAATATTTTGGTTTCTTTAATTAAATTAAAAGAGGTTATTGTTTTAGTTGAAAATGATATAATGGGACCCAGAAATATCGTAGTTGAGATGACTAATAAAATTTTCTGAAATTTGACTTGAATATTTTCTGCGGTGCATTTTGGTAAGTAATTACTCGCTTACAAGACAAAACGCTTTCTTCAAATAACTGATTTTTTTTGTTTTGTTCTCCCAGTTTTGTTTTTTTCTTTATTTTTGCAATTGTAAAAACGACACACGTGCCACTACCTGAAAGGAAATCAATAAAACCTATATTATTATTAAATTCGATCAGATTTTGGGAATTTGGTTAGCTTTGCAGCAGCCACCTTGTAAACCCGAACATGCACACTCGCAACTCGTGATGATGATGATGGTGGTGGTGATGATGATGATGATGATGGCAATTGAGGTAATGATGATTATTATGATGGTGATGATGATGACCATCATCATCATCATCATCCTGATTGAAGATTACTTGCATTATTTACATTATTTGGACTATTATCCTCATCTTCATTGCCATATTCACAACGTTTCGGCCGTTGTACACTCCGGCCTTTATGTCTATGTATCTCTATATATCTGTCTATATCTCTGAGATGAGGTATTATGATTACTTGCATTATTTACATTATTCAGACTGTTATCCTCATCTTCATTGCCATATTGACAACGTTTCGGCTTTTGTACGCATCGGCCTTCTTCAGGTGATTGGAATTTCGAACCGAACCCATTTTTTCGTCCACTGGGTATTGAACTCACAACTCTGTGTGGTCTTGTCACAGGATGTAACCAACGTCTTTATCCACTGAGCCATGTGAGTATGGCAATGAAGATGAGGATAACAGTAATGCAAGTAATCATAATACCTCAAAGTAATAGGACAAAGTGTACAACGGCCGAAACGTTGTGAATATGACAATGACGATGAGGATAACAGTCCAAATAATGTAAATAATGCAAGTAATGATAATACCTCCTCTCAGAGATATAGACAGATAATGATTGATCATATGTGTAATACTGTTTTAATGTTCTTTCTGTCTGGACGAGAGTAAAAGAAAACTACCTACAGATGAGTATGTGCAAGGGCTCAGGTCATATACACTATGTCAGATTTTATTATGCAAGAGAGTTGTTTCCAATATAATTGATATTAACCGACCAATGTTAACAAATCTTTGTGGGTATAATTATATTTATATGAGCAAATATATTACGTAAGATTCAGTTCATAATATTTATTCTTATTAAAAAACAAATAATGATAATAAATTTTGACGCGTCAGGATTTTGTTATGCAAACAAAGCTCAATATGGCGTAACTTTTAATTATTTTTGACAGGAAAGCTGGAAGAGTGTTCCACAAGTGAGAAGTGCGAGAGAAGAAACTATTAGAAAATAATAACGCTAATATTTAGCAAAATTTCAACAGTAAAATGATGAGACTTAATTGTCACCCAACTGCTGTGCATAAATTGAAGTGAATATTCCATATATCTGGAGAAAAAATTTGATTGGTGACATGCATTGGTCTTTTCTTTTAATATTAGTATGATTATTTTGGCGATAATGTTTGAAGGTATCAGTAGAGCTTTAGGTGATTTGGTGGGAAAATACAGTGAATTACATAGATGAGAATAGCCTGAGAGAATTACATCTGAACACACAGATAGATAGATAGATAGTTAGATAGATAGATAAGAAAAGAATGATGTAGATCTACACATAGATAGATAGATAGAAAGATATTAAAGTACTAAGATAGACAGATATGTACAGATTGAGATAGATAGATAGATAGATAGATAGTTACGAAAAGAATGAGATAGATAGATAGATAGATAGATAGATAGATAGATAGATAGATACGAAAAGAATTAGATAGATAGATAGATAGATAGATAGATAGATAGATAGATAGATAGATAGATAAGAAAAGAATTATGTAGATCTACACATAGATAGATAGATAGAAAGATATTAAAGTACTAAGATAGACAGATATGTACAGATAGAGATAGATAGATAGATAGATAGATAGATAGATAGATAGATAGATACGAAAAGAATTAGATAGATAGATAGATAGATAGATAGATAGATAGATAGATAGATAGATAGATAAGAAAAGAATTATGTAGATCTACACATAGATAGATAGATAGAAAGATATTAAAGTACTAAGATAGACAGATATGTACAGATTGAGATAGATAGATAGATAGATAGTTACGAAAAGAATGAGATAGATAGATAGATAGATAGATAGATACGAAAAGAATTAGATAGATAGATAGATAGATAGATAGATAGATAGATAGATAGATAGATAAGAAAAGAATTATGTAGATCTACACATAGATAGATAGATCGAAAGATATTAAAGTACTAAGATAGACAAATATGTACAGATTGAGATAGATAGATAGATAGATAGATAGATAGATAGATAGATACGGATGAACAAGTTTAAAACGGAAAATCTGAAAAATGAGAAATTCCAAAGACAGTACGCAAGAGTGTTTACCATCGTCATATTCTTCCCTATTTTATTCCTTGTCGTACGGAACTCCCCTGAAAGAATTCGATATCGATCCATATAGAATTCGGCTCCTTCATACTTTGCCATCGGCAGAAATGATATGCGGAGTTTCATAGATTCCAAAATTCTATAATGGCGTTCAGGGAAACTAATCAGAAAAAATAAATGTGAAATAAAAGTAAAAAGAGAAAGAAATGTCGGATTGCTGGCAAAACAGTAAGTGTAAAATATATTTGGAAAGAAAGAAAGAAAGAAAGAAAGAAAGAAAGAAAGAAAGAAAGAAAGAAAGAAAGAAACTGAAAATAAAAGAAAAGAAAAAGAAAATATATTTGGAAAGAAAGAAAGAAAGAAAGAAACTGAAAATAAAAGAAAAGAAAAAGAAAATATATTTGGAAAGAAAGAAAGAAATTGAAAATAAAACAAAAGAAAAAAGGAAATATATTTGAAACGAAAAAAAGAAGAAAGAAAGAAAGAAAGAAACTGAAAATAAGACAAAAAAGAAAAAAGGAAATATATTTAAAACGAAAGAAAGAAAGAAAGAACGAAAGAAACTGAAAATAAAACAAAAGAAAATATATTTACAACGACAGAAAGAAAGAAAGAAACAAAGAAACAAAGAAAGAAAGAAAGAAACAAAGAAAGAAGTAAAGAAGAAAGAAAGAACAAAAGGAAGAACTGAAAATAAATCAAAAGAAAAAAAGGAAATAAATTTGAAACGAAAGAAAGAAAAACGAAAAATGTTTGGAAAACTCTAAAGAAAGAATGATAAGAAATGAAAAAAATCTTTTAAAAGCAGAAATCAAAATAATAAAAAGAAGTTCTGCGAAATAAAATCTCATCATTAATATATTTGAAAGAATTGACGCCAAAAAAGTTATTCAGAAGAAATGGAATAAAATCTATTTCAAATCAATGAATGATAAAAGTGAAAATAGTCGAAAAAAAAGATTAAGCCATGAAAATATCAAAGTTTAGAAGAATTTGAAGTCATTGCACCAACTAAGTTCACTCCAAGTGTAAGAACAAACACTAATGCTTTGCGAATAGGAAATGGTATTGATATTTACTGAGCGGCATCATCATGACTTTGTTTCAGACAGGAAGATTTAGAAATGTTTTACACGCCAGATACAATCTCCCCGAGTATCCATAGAACCCTGTGAGTGGGAGTCAAGTTTTTCCGTATCGGTTTCAGAAGATAATCAGTCAGCCTGGGAGGTTACCACCTTGCTGGGTCGCCTTTTTATTTTCTGCTCTTTCTATGTAGTTTTCGAAAAAGTGGGGTAGAACTTATGTTGCCATATTTCCATGTAGGCGGCTCCTGTTTTCCACAGACTATAATTTATACCGCGAGTGACGAGGATGTGTGTTTCTTCCGATGGGCTCAGCTTCTTCGCTAGCAAGAGTTGACTTCTCCAAACAGAAAAATGTCTTTTGGGAAATAATTGCTCTCTATTCTTAACACCTGACCTACACTCTACCATTTAATTACTTAAGCGATATAGAAGAATTTAGTTTGGTGTGAACACTAACCACTGATACACGTGTTAAATACGGAAGTATCTTTCCTACCAAGCAAGATTTAAGAGAGATATTCACGAACTTTAGTTTGCTGAAGGATTTCCAATTGTCAAAGGGCTATATTGAATGAGTGAGATAGTGAAGGAATATTAATTGAAGTTTGTTCAAATAAAAGAATATATAAATGAATCTACAATTCATTCATACAATTGAATACAGCTAGCAACATCATATTTTATTGCCTGTGTAAACTAAATAGAATACAAAAGTCTATGACGGTGTGCATTTTCTGATGTAGTTTTTCGTACGTACGTGTATGCAAAGTCCCTATGAAAGATTGACTAAGACTTTTTATTTGACAAGAGTTCTTTGTTGGTTTGGTACAATTATTACAAATGCCTGATGTGTATCGTCAATTAACCTTAGGGCATATTATGCTCTGTACTTTTTGTGTTATAGTTTTATATATAGTTTAGCTCACTTGTACTTTCAAATTTTGCGAATCTGGCGTGTTTGTTGAGGTGACTCATTTATATATGAAGTCACAAAGACTATAAATAGATACAGCTATTACCCATGAGGTAGTTGAGTGCATACTACTTCACGTAAGTCACTAACACCACAATGGCGTCACTGATATTCGAACGAACAATTATCACTGGATAACTATGAATACGCACAAGCGTGGCTTAGGATACTAGCAGCTAAAACAAGAACAAAAAAGCTGCGGGAGAAAACCAGATAACTGATCTCTTTATGGCAGCTGCTTGTTGTGGGGCTATTATAAAAGTATCAGCAATTGCACACCCAAAACAATTGGAGGAAATAGCGTTTGACGATATAAATCAAGAAATAGTGAAAATTAAGTAATAGTGAAAAATATAGCACACAAGAAAAAAAACTAGTGAATACAAAACTCGGAAAACTAGTCAATCGAAAAGGATTTGATCCAAATGAAACTGATAAACGCCCTTCAAAATGAGAAGTATATGCAAATGACTTGAATGCATTTACAATTGGGAAAGTTGTCACTAGCGTCGAATTTGTTCAGCAACATGAATTAATTAAAAATTTAATAGAACAAAAGTTAGGAATCTCGATGAGGGAAGGGACATATACGCGATAAAGAAAAAAGAATAATGTGTACTTTTTATGATTATCAACATCAAAGAGAAAAACGAAAATTTCCAGCATAAAAAGATGGGAAAAGTGTTTCAAAATGAATCGTTTTAATCGTAAGTGTAAATCCATAAAGACAAAAGTAGAGACGGTCCAACAAAATAAAGAGGAAGTAAGTATTGACATTTTTTCACTGAAAAGTAAAAAAAGAAAAAAGGGTTATTAAAAAAAAGGTGATATGACCGAGTCCTAGCCGTGACGGTGAGACCTGGTGGAAACAGGAGATGCAGTTCGTCAGAGAACTTTCCATGGTAGTAGCGATAAAGCAGTGAGAAGTTCTCTACATCCCGCCTATGAGACAGATTTTTTTCCGATAAGGACTCGGAGACGCTTTTGAACTCTATCAAGATTGGAGAGTGAGTTCTAAGCTGCTCTTACCTAAATATAGCAACAGTACTCCATTTTTATAAAGGTAGAGGATAGCATGAGGAGCCAGGGAATTACTAGAGCGGTACAGGGAGCCAATCCTTTTACCTGCATCTTTAGAGATTGATCGTATGTTCGAGTTCCGCCTGAGGTCGTATGTGATTTTGAGGACCAATATCTTCTCAAGACACGGTTCTTTCTCGAGGGGACAAACGTTCATCATGATTGATGGTGATGGAATGTAATCAGTTTGGTTTTTGAACCATTGAATGTAACCAGCCAGTTTTTTCCCCACTGGAAAATTAGTATTGGATCGGAAGAGAGGGGTTAGCTGCCAATCTCTGATCGTCAAGTATATCGTCGTATCATCGGCATAGACGTTTACAAATGATCGGAGTATATTTTTACGTCGATCATTTATGAAAATCAGAAAGGTGTTTGGTCCGAAAAAAGTCCTCTAGGGGACGCCTGCATTGACCGCCAGGGTCTCGGAGAACTGACTGTTAATAACTACCTGTTAGGAAGGATTTTTATAATAGTGATTGCATAGCTGGAGAACTTGTGTATCAAACCTTTCTGCCACACCTTGACGAAGTCTTTCGAGATACCTAATGCTATGGTCCTTGCAGTATGTGTATCGTCAAGCGTCTCACTAATTCAGTGTGTGATGTTCGTTAGGACATCAGCAGTGGATCGGAATGATTGAAACCCATAATTTTCGTCGCACAAGAGGTTGTTCCTATCCAGGTGCTCGACGAGCTTCTTGTTGATTAAGGCCTTAAAATGATATTGAGGAAACTAATGGGTCTATACTGGGAGAAAGAGGTTCGGTTACCTGCGTTCTTGAAGACCGGGCATATGCTTGCCACTTTCAATGTGCCTGGAAAAGATTTCTCCTCCATGCAGCGGTTAAAAAACTTTGTTAGAATCGAGGATAATTCTGGTTTGATATTCTTAATGACGACTACTGTAACCAGAATATTGTTAGTGGATCAAAAGCTAAGCTATGATCCAAAGTGGAATAACTTGGGCATAAAAAAAAGCAAGAAGGGAGTAATGAGTGTGAGCATTGATAATCAATTCTCGCAAAAAATATTTACCTACGCACTCAATATCAACTATAAGAGATATAGACCAAAATCAGGATTCTTTTTCATCAATGGCTAAAATACATAGGAGATTGTTTTGTACCTGAAAACTTGCTCTATATAACGATGTTATTGTGCAGTGTTTATATATATATATATATATATATATATATATATATATATATATATATATATATATATATAGAGAGAGAGAGAGAGAGAGAGAGAGAGAGAAAGAAAGAAAGAAAGAGAGGGGGAGTTATGTTATCAGCAAATTTGTTATAGACATAAATTTGTTTTAAAAATATACGCCTTACATGATGAATGAAGGCTTAAGAGTAGAGTTCGAACTTCATAATTTGATTTTCGATTAATCGAAGTTCTTCTCACTCCAAATCCCGAAGACGAAGAAAACGTGTTCAATGTTCCATGAAATTATAGATTTCAAATAAGAAAATTTCTATAGGGATATTTTCTTCTTCTCTCCTCTTGGTGGGGGACTATATTAGGGGTGCATTCAAAGCTGTTGTAAAGCTGCCAGTACAAAAGGTGAAAAAACAAGGCAAAAACAAAAATCATGCGAAGGTGAACATTAATATAAAAAATTTATAGAAAATTAATCTTTACTTTAAAAATGTACAGAAATCTATTAGCAAATAATCTTTTCTATCTATAAATATTTTAATGGTAATTGTTCTATGAATCGTTTCTCTTTAGTACTTTGACTTTAGGAATTTAAGTGCAGTAATAGATTAGAAGCTTTGTTGCATCATTTTACAGCTGTAATTGTTAAATGTAAACGTATATTTGATGCTAACAGTTTCTTCTCTCTCACATCTCACCTGTGTAACTCTCCTGCGCCCTCTTGCTTCCCAGTGAACATTTTAAATGCAATGATTTTCTTTTTCTCATAGTTTTTCACAATCGGTAATCCAGTTAAGTCTTAGTGGCCTTATTACCTTTCTTGGGTTGAAATGATAAAAATGTATGAACAAGAAGAAAAAAATTAATGAAAACAAATTCATCTGTTGCAAAATTCCCTTAAAATGATCGTTTAATTCAAAGAAATCAAAAGACTAATTATTTTACTAACATGTCATGTGTATTGGATCGAATTAAACAGAAAAAATAAACAAGGTCTTGCTTACCAGTTAGCATTTTCATTTCTGGATCCAATCCAGGATCAGTCATCAGGAGGAAGCATAACAGCGAATTTCTTCCCCATTTCCTCTGCTGCATTCTGCTATGGCAGGGTCCCTCCATTGTCGAGGCTTCTTCTAGATCGCTGCTAACTGGTCTTTGCTGCCATCAATTGTTCTCCAACCAACTGTTATCATCTCGCTTTAACCAGATGAAGAGTGATGCTTTTTCCGCTGTCTCCTGAAGATCTGGTAGCAGGCTTTTTATCTCCTTGTTGCTGTTGCCAAATCGTCTTCTGAGCACATTAGCAACATCTTTTCCTACAAAACAACGGCACCCCACAGCTAGATGGTAGAATTCAAACTTCCATCCACATTCTTCACACGTGTCTATCAGGTCTTCATATCTCTCAAATTTTCTTTGCTCTGCCTGTTCCAAATTGCCACCCAAAGAGACTGTCAGTTTCAACAACAATGCTTTTTTGACAAAAAAAGCATTCCATAACACTAGGTCTGGCCGTTGGCTTGTTGCTACAATAAGAAAGAAAAGTACAGAATCGAGATCTGCTGCTATTTTCCATTCTTCTGACCATCTTTGATCCTCTATCGTTTCCATTTGAGATCCTTTAATGGTGGCCTTGCTGCTTTCTTTGTGAAACTATACTTTAGTCATCACTTGCTTGGTAGGTCCATATATACATATATATATATATATATATATATATATATGATAAAATATAGTTTTAAGATGTGCTATATTTATGACTTAAAGTGCTTAATATCAGGGATAGAGCGTATGTAAATATAAAAGTGGACACCAAGTTAACAACCAGAGGCTAAACGCAATCGTCAGGCCATGTACGTTGTTATTTGGCTGAAATTTTTTATATATACAGGTCAGTGATGCATTATGGGTATTGTATAGTATTGAGGGTAGTCTATTGCATTATTCTAATTGTTATTTTGGTGGGCGTGGTTTGTTAATTTGTTCATTATTTACTTAGTTTATTTATTTGTTTGTATTAAATTATTTTACTTGTTTTTGTTTATTTTATTTATTTTTATTTATTCTTTTTATTTTTCGATTTTTAAGTAACGTAGTCAAAATTTGTTTTCGTGTCTACATTTTGAGACGGGTTCTGATCGTTTATTTAGTAGTTTGCTTTTAGTCTGGGAAGGCAATTATAGCTATTATTTCCTGCAAGGATAGTTTACAGTTTTTGGATTGAATGTTTGTAGACTGATGTTCTGTGTTCTTATTTTCCATGATATTTTTGGTACGATTTCTTCTTAATCTCCCAGATATGTTTAGAAAGCATTGTGCTCTTCGCGTATTTACTATTTGTAAATTATGTTTTTCTGGGCGTAGTTTCTTTGTTTCCAGAGCCTTTCAGTTACTCCTATGTATTTTTTCTTCATTATTTGCGGATTTTACAGTGGCTTTGTATATTACATTGTTTTGCCAACAGGCAGAGAAACACCAAATGATTCAACACACTGTACCACAAAAACGTAAGAATAAACGTCAGAAAGATATGCATTAAACTCATCATTCTTTTTATTTCCCTCCTTCTCCATCCCTCTTTTTCTGCTTCCCTCTCTTATAACTTTTCACTCTACACTCTTTATCCTTTGATGCTTCCCTCCCTATTTATCGCTCATGTGTTGTTTAACAATCTCTGAAGCCATTACTAATATAGTTAGCTACGTCGTTACAACGTATCAAAAAAACTCTGGCCTTTTTTACTAAACGAAGCTAAGTCTGCTAGATAGGTCAAACTCTTTCTATAGAACGATATTTGCAAACTTAGTATCGATGACATGTTATTTACTAACGTTAGCTGTATGGTCATCCAGTTAGGACTGGACTAGCTTTAGCGGTAGTTATTGAATTAGAACCTCACAATGTTCTCCATTCTTATCTCAAGTCCCTGTAAGTCTCGTTATTCAGAGAATCAAGGCACATCATGAAGATTAATCTTCTTCATCTTCAACATTTGCCTTTGATTCTTTGATTTTGTATCAGTTTGACTAAAGCTTAGCAAATATTTTCAGCACTGCGTGCAATACAACATATTTCGTATTTCTATAAAGAGAGGGTTTTTAATTCATTTGTTAAGCAAAAGATTCTATATCGTGTCCTTGTTGAATTGTAAAAGTAACGCGGCATTGGTTAGACTAACGTTGAAAATGAAATTATTTCTTTTACAAATTTGTTATAAATATTCTGCATTTCCTGCTTCCTAATGTCTCCTGGCTTTTAAAAAAGAAACTTTCACTTTGCACATGGATGGAGCACCTGAACTTCCGAATCATAAAATTCTCGAAATTATAGACAATCAATGGTATGAAAAACCAGAAGCATGGTTTCTACATGAACATACACAAAACACCATTGACTAACGTGTAGACAATTGTTTTTCTTATCGTGACTGACAGAGAAATGAAGAAAAAAAATCATTGCTAATAAAATAAAGGGATTTTACAAACTTTTACAGTGGCAGGATCCTGAAAAGTTTATAATATCTCTTCATGATCCAGAACAGTCTTTAACATCTCAACCTGGTCGAAAACAGTCCTTAACATCTCAACTTGATCCAGGACAGTTTCTAAAAGATCATTTGGGACGAAATCTCACGCGGAAATAAGTTTTGTTGGGATTTCTCAAAGGAAACTCTTATTATGAATATCTGTAGTTTGAATAAAATAACACTGTACAATATAAGAAGCATGTTGCTTGACTGAATGTTACAGTTGGATATAAAAAATACGTTTTTGTGGGCACAAATTTGAGCCACTGATTTTAATTCAAATCAAAATTTTCAATATTTTGGAAATTAAATGCTGTTAAATTATCTAGGAAGCAAGCATTTGACTCAGCACATTCAATAATATTCAATGAGATTATGGTCTAATGTAGTTATATAGCCGTGACAATACAGGGAAGGAGTTTTTATATTCCTGCAACCATTCCCGTATAAGTTGTTCAGTATACTGTCATCATAGAAAACTGAATTATGAATTCTAAAGTTTCCAAGTAGGACATTATCAAAACTAGACACTACTTACAGCAGTTTTTATTTTGTCCCAAAACGCCACTACAAGAAACTGTTTTTTTTGTTTTTTTTTTCGCTTTGATTAAGGCCATCTGCAATTTGTGCCACAGTAGGTAATCTGTTGACTCGTACTTGGTAGAAAAAACATTCGTTCAATGATTCATATCTGCCTAATGCTTTGTCATTGATTAAAGATGTCTCCTTTCTCTAAATAATGGAAAATTGTCATGCTGTTTTAGAATTGCTTTTAAATAATCTTTTAGTCAAAACAGATTTTTCTTTGTCAAAATCACTAAATTCCTACTTAAAACTAAGAACATAAAACAATGAATGCATCAATAGATTCAGATTTGTATACAAATAGATATATATGTGCCCAGATTTGTTCATATTGTATGTAGCGCTTTTGGAAGGTTTGGTTTCGTTTGTTTTGTTTTACGGCATATCAACCTCAACGGGTTATTTAATGTCGACAAGATTTTTTTGCTGATAATATTTTTTTCAAAAAAAGTATTGCTGTTAATATTTTTTTCTTAAAAAATTCATAACTTTTTACAAAAATGTATTGCTGGTATTAAAACATATTTTTACACTTTCATAGTGTTTTGACACCAATTTCGGGGTCAACTATTTGCCCATAGCTAGGACCCTAACAGGTGCTACCAACCCGGGTCATGGTAGACCTGGGAACACCAGTAATGAAGAGGTGGTTCCATGATCCTCAAAACCTCAGGAAAAGAGGCTTTGTTGCTGGATGCAGTTTATCGTTTTACCCAGGACGCGGATGCAGTTTATTGTCTTACCCAGGACAACGCTTTTGGAAGAGCGTTATAAAAGCGCCCATTTATAAACGTATATATTCATTTGTGGGCACATCGAAAGGGTGTAATGTTAACATGCATATATTACGAGATCAATTAAGGCTAGATGGTAAAAGATCGATCTTTAGTTTGTGCACCATACCTTTGACCTTGTGTCACTTCTAAGCTACGCTTACTAAATCATTTATATTTAATTATTTGTGTGTGTATATGTTACACTTTCTTATATGTAGTCAACTAGATATGTAGATGCGTATATGTCTAATGGATGTATGTGTGTGTATAAGTTTATACATAGGCAAACACTGAAAGTGTTCTGCCTACGTTTGTGAATGTGTATTCGTGTCTATTAACACATGTTGTTGAATAAGTGAACATGTTGCCGATTATATGTTTGTCTGCACGTATGAGTGTGTGTGTCTGTCACTATCACTCTCTGTCTCTATCACTCTCTCCATAAGTTCGGATTTCATTGGAGATAAATAGAGAAAAAAGGATGAAAAGGAAAGAAATCCGGAAAGAAATGAAATAAAATAATAAAGTTAAAGAATGCGAATTTGAATTGCAAAAAAAAAGCCACGAAAGAGTTTTTTTTTCCCCCGTCGGCGCAAAGAATTGAAAATAAAGAGAAAGCCTGCAAGAAGAAAAAACTCAGAAGAAGATGCCGACGAGAGAAGGTAAGAATAAAAAAAAATGATTCAAAGCAATAAGACAATGAAAGAAAGTCGAATGGAAGATGGATAAATAGTGTGGGTTGGGGGAAAAATGAAAAAATCCAGGAGTGAAGAGGAGGGAATAAGAAAACTGCAAGGATTGGTCACAATAAGAAACAAATCCCAGTTTGATGGACGCAGGAAATAAGTGGCGGTAAGAGGACAAGAGATAAAAAAGGGAGAGGTAAAAGGAGACAAGTTGAAGGTGGAGGGGGGTGTACAACAAAAGGAAAATGGCGAAAATGTTAATGAAAAAGCAAATGTAAAGTGAAATTGGAATGAATACAAAAAGAGAAAGCAAAGTAAGAAATTGGGAGGCAAAGAGACGGAAAGAGTAGAAACCAAAAGAAACGAGACGTGGAGTTTGGGAATTTATCAAGGATAATTCTCATTCTGCCATCAGAAGAGGAGTAGCCAGGGGAAGGCTATGAAGATTTAACAGAAAACAGATATATAAAATTGAAAGAACTACATATATTTATATATATATATATATATATATATATATAT